GTACGACAACTCAGGACAGAAGAACCTGGCGCTTTAGAATTAGGAGGGCCGACCCCAATTAACGGGATAATGGCAAGGAGAGAAGAAGAAGAAGAAACATACATAGATATGAATGTATATACCTATTTTTTTAAAACTGCGGGTGAACATATAGAAATAAATTTTTCAAATAAAGAAAAGGTTTAGGAATAAATAAAATAATACTTTTATTCAAATATATGTATGTATGCACATGAATGTATTAGAATTGAACATTGTAAAATTTTTTGTTCAAAAAATTAGAAATAAAATTTTAAGCACAAACATACATAATTATGAATGTATACCTATTTTACCTAGAAGTACGCGTACTTTTTTCCACCTGAGAAGCAGCTATATATATAATTATGTACTTTTTCGTAATTATTTTTAAGAGCATTTCTTATTTCAAGTTTTATCTTATAAAATATTAGGAAGAAACATATCCATATGTATATTACGAGTGTGTTTTTGAAGAAAGAAAGTAACCTTAAAATATCTGAGACACAGAATGGAACACAATTTCAAAACTACAGACATAATACTTGCAAGGCTTGCAATGCAAGCACACACGACTAGTTATATATTTATAGCTATTTCTCAGGTGTCAAAAAGTACGGTTACTTCCAGAAGGGCTAGAGACATGGGACAAAAAGCATTAGATAGTGTTTTTCATCTGAGGTTCCAGAAAAAACTGACATTGGAACTTTTTAGCCCCGAAATAACTCTATTTTAAAATTTTCTGAAAAAATTTTTGTATAACAAAAGCACGTTTTTCTTTTATACTTTATATTACTAGAAACACAAAGCAAGAAATGAATAATATTCGAATTTTTAGTTCGAAAAATCGGAACAGACTTAGATAAATGTCAGATTTTATCAAAGACATCAGATGTTTTGTGGCATCGGAATATTAACTCTTTATCTGTTATTGTTTTGAATATTATGTTTCGTTAGGAGCTCTAAAAAAATAGGTATACATTCATAATTGTGTATATACATATGTATGTGCTTAAAATTTTATTTCTTATTGTTCAAACGAAAGACTTTAAATGTTTAATTCTTATATATACATATATTTGAAGAAAAGTATTATTTTATTCATGCCTAAATCTTTCCTTTATTTGAAAAATTTATTTCTGTATAGTTACCCCCATGATTCTGTAATTATGTGTTTAAAATTTATTTCTATATATTTAACCACAGATTTGAATATTATATAGGAAGTTTTCATATAGGAAGTTTGAAAAAACATACATACATACATATGCTTCTTGGAAATTTTTTCTTAAACTTTTGTAACAATATTTATCTGTTATATATTAAAAAAAGGAATGCAAAAAAATCTAACGAAACTAAAATAAAAAAAATCTGATGTGATCAGCACATAACCGACCGCATTGTGCATTGTCTAGTTAATTAAAAATGCCTGTTAATTACCTCTTTCCAATTTTTAGGACATTAGTAAGCTTATAGTTAACATACCTAGAAAAATGTAAATTTGGCTCTTAATAGAGTTTCACTTTGTGCCACCCGAATTCCATGAAATGCTCGTCAGTTAGTTTCGGTAACAACCAGAACTCAAATATCAAATTTCAAGAAATTCTATCAATTAGTCCCGTAGATATGGTGAAAAATGTAAAATCGGCCCGCAGATCAGTTTTCGAGCCCTGATCTTTCCAAAAAATTTATATGTTCAGTGTTTTAATACGAGGAATTCATATATTAAATTTCAATGAAATCGGTTGATTATTTCTCTTTATATACGCAAAAATGTATATTTGGCCCGTAGTAAACGTCTAATTGCTGACGCCTGATTTCTTCCAAAAGTTAGGAGGTCTTGGGGCCAGTCGAGCGAAGCTCATATATGAAATTTCAAGCAAATCGGTTGAATAGTTTCTTCAAAATGTTCAAAAATGTAAAACAGGCCCGCTAAAAAGTGCAGTTCCCGAGGCCTGATATATCCCCGACAGACCGACAGACAGTTTATTTACACTTCCCTACTATGGAGAAGTGCATTCCCACCGAAAACTCGATATGCAAAATTTGTTGCCATCACATGACCTACCTATTGTATACACAATACGGTCGGTAAAAAAATTTCAAAATAATTCAAAAAAAGAAAAATGCGACAATATTCTGCCAATTTTCGGTTATATTTCATATAACTCTATAAAAATCATCATATTTTACATTAAATAAACATAGCTACTTCTGAGGTGCGAAAAAGTACAGTTTTGCGAATGAGTGGAAGGAAAATCAAAAATTATACCCACCCTACCTCTTCACCCCTTCCCAAGATACTGTGTGACCGCTTTTTACAAAATGGTACAACATCTTATGGTGCCAATTTGTATTTATTTTTGATTTAGTATAAATATTGTATATAAATTAATTATGGAAGTGTGAGTTATATTTTCATTTTAAATAAGAACAAAAAATTATCTGACATTTCGCATTCTTCAGGGTTCGAACTTTAGACTTTTTGTATAAAAATCGTGTGCTATACGCATTACCCTATATATTGTTAGTATTAGCTAACTATCCATTAACACATTTCATTCGCATGCATTATAGAATCTGAATACATTATGTACATGGATTTTAATTAGTAGCTAATTTTTTTACCGTAATTGATCGCCTAAAGTGCTCATTGTCAAGGTTAATTTACGATTTTAAGCAAGGTTCTAAAATAAATTTATGAATAAATATTAGATCTGAAGGAAGCTAATCATTTGTTTAATTATGTACTTTTTTATAATTATTTTTAAGAGCTTATCTTATTTTACGTTTTTGATTTTATATAGGTATTAGTAAAAAACCATATCTATATGTACACTTCGCGTGTGTTTTTGAGAAAAAAAAAGTAAATTTAAAATCTCTCACATACAGAATGGACCACACTTTTAAAACTACAAACATAATCCTTGCAAGGCTTGCAATGCAAGCACACACAACTAGTTATTATTTGTAAAATGTTTTAAGAACAATTTCAAATTTTTTTATTTTTGAATTTGAAATAATTTTTTCTTTTAATTGCCGTATTTCTTTAAAAATTTGAATCTGCAATAAAATAAAACCTAAAATTCAATTTACTATAAAAACAACATTTCTAAGAATGTTTTAACATTTTTGAAGTTATTTATTTAATGCCATCATCAAACAATACGAGTACTCGTATAAAACAATCATTTAACCATACATTATTGCAATGAACAATCACTTAACTGTACAAGAAGAGGACAAATTTCGCAGGAAAAAGCTCTTTAATCAAAAGAACGAATAAATTGAAATTGCTATAAGCCTGTATGATGATTGTCATATAAACCCGTATGATGACTATCATATAACGTCAAAACCCATAGTTTTTTTGTCTTAAATTATTTTTATTACTTATCCAACACTATTTCAGTCACGAAATTACATATAACAACAACAAGAAATGCTTCTTAAATACAAAAAACTGTTCAAATATGAATATTCCGTTGTGACTATGAATTTTTTAAGAGATTCTTAAACGGAATTTTAATTCTCATGTATTAGGATATAGTGAATATGAAACTTACATTTTATTTTTTATAGCAAAATAGATTAATTACTTTGCAAAAATTTTCAAATATTCTAATTTAAATTCCTCGCCTGTAAATCTCAATTAAGCGATAAGTAAACGATGTTGCTTCGGGATCTTCTAAAACAAAACAACCTTGCTTAAATAAATAATTAAAAAAATTTTTCGACGTTTTAAATGCTGTGTTCTGGCAAACATCATCCAATTGAATACGAATTTATTTCGTACTCGAAAGATATTCATGATTCTGGAAAAAGTATGCAGACATAAGTTTATATATATATCATCGCCGGTTTGATATACTTCAAAAATTAGTAACATTTTTGTTTAGAACTCGGTGTCAAAACAAAATGGTTTGCGTTCTACAGGAATTTCAAACAAAATTCGGAAATTTTTTAAAATTTCTATATGTTCACTTAATCTCTATATGTTGAGCTTTAAAGCTTATAAAACTTTAATTCCTTTCCATTTATTTTGTTTTCTTAATTTTCCTACTTTGCGAGTTTTAGTTTCCGGATAAAAACTGTTTGTTTAAAGCCTCTGTTTTTCGGAAGGGAAGTTATAAGCAAAAAAACTTATGCAAGTTATGTTTTTTGTATCGTTGAAAAAATTTTGTATCGTTGGGAATTCACACGTAATTTTAAAACAAAATTTTTTCCACTTTTGATGTCCCAGACGATGATATATGTATAATAAATGAATACTTCTGTATATTCAGACAATATTGTAGTGTAACAACATTAATTTGTTTTTGATAAAAGAATTTGAATTTTCAAAAAGACTTTTCTGAACCGTTTCACATCAGAAATTTTAAAAAAACTTGGACCCTTTTAAAATTTTTTCTGAACATAGAAACTCTTATAATTGTTGTTCAACAAGAATGACGATTTGCAATTCTGAAATTTATCCCAACTTTCGAGCTTTTTGTGGCAATGTTTTATTGCAATTTTTTTTAAATCCGTAAAACTCTCACTTGGCAATTTTACAAACGCTCTAAAAGCTAGGCAAGAGTTTCGCGAAATACTTAATTCAACCAACTCTGATTTCCTATTTGGGTTAAATTATCATGGGTTTAAATTTCAAGCTCTGAACAAATGTAGAAAGCGGAGTAATTCAACGCTAGCCTTTAAAACCAAATTTTGAAAAGAAGTCAGTGGCCAATTTTCACTTTTTTTTACCTTACCAAACCCTAACTTTATAAGATTTTAGCTTCCCAAATTCTACATCTTACCCAAAACATTGGCTTAGTTGTTTCGTTACTTCGAAATGTATCGTATAATAGAAAAGTAAGTGAATAAATTTTTCACCTTACGCTCATGTAAAAGTTTGTGAAAAATCTAAATTACGTATATTTACTAAATTCGTTGTAGATCAAACTTAAAATGTTCTAGAAGACCAAAAAAAAAGCACAAACCTCAGATTTAACAATTTCTTCAACTTTTATGGCAGTTTCCAAATTTTGTGGATAAGGCATGCCGTGAGTTATAATAGTTGATTCCAAAGCAACCACCGGGTTGCCTGATAAAATTTTGTTTCTTATGTTTGGATGCACATCTATTGCCGAACCAATCGACATCAATGTTCTATATCTGATTTTCATCCTGCAATTAAAAATTGAAAAAAATTTATAATTAAGTAAACTAAACTTGGTTTACTAAATTAGTGGTGAAATCGTTATATACTTACGACGGAATTAAAAAAAAACTAACACTAACTTTTTTTTACAACTTTTGTCTCAATTAATTTAACACTTTGATTGATTTTAGAAAAGCAGGGTTTCCCCTATCTAAATGCACTGCTATGTACCATTGTATAGGCCCTCATGAGTAGATAAAAATTTTATATGAAGATAAAATAACTTAGATTAATGGCTGTATTAATGAAAGGCACCATATGATATTCTTCGGGCATTAATTTTTGCAAATGTAAGAAATATCAGTTGTTAAGTTGAACAGAGACGGTTGTCGTACGTTTACCTTTTTGAACGGTTGTCGTACGTTTACAATTTTGAACGATTGTCGTACGTTTTGAACGGTATTTTGCATAACAGAGACGGCTGTCGTACGTTTACCTTTTTGAACGGTTGTCGTACGTTTATCATTTTGAACGGTTGTCGTACGTTTTGATCGGTATTTTTCTAAGTCATTGAAGCTCTTCAAACCATATATCAAATTACAGCTCCTTCAACCAGGTTGCGAGTTGTTCTAAACTTGGAGAAAGCTCCAATGTTACGTCACCTAGAAAGCTAAGGTTTTTTTAAAATGAAAAGTTAAAATTTTTCGAGCTTTAAAGTTATATAATTTCGAAATCTGAACAGATAATAACAAACGCAAATATTCACGAAAAAGCCTTTATTTTGAAATTTCCCAATCATAGTTAATAGTCTACATATTTTATACAAGCATGGAGTTATACTTAAGATTTCAAAAAGTAAAAAAATCAGTCGAGATTGATTTTAAGACCCTGTAACTCCAACCTTGTTGAGCAATGGACATCGTCTCTAAATAAAGATTTTGTCTACTCATGGTCCTTATGCAATATTCTATAGCAATGCATTTAGATACGAAACACCCTGTATAAACCTTTAGTATCAAAATAAAAATTTACAATATCTAATCACATCAATATTTAAGTTTATCGGAAAGAATTCTGACATACAAAAAGCGCTAATGATAATATCAATTAGTTTGTTTTAAATTTCACCTCATTTATTGAATTTTAAGTTGTCATACTTTTTCTATCCAGATTAAAATATATTGTGTTTTTATATCCAGTAACATTCTTGTTCCGTCACAGACTTGAATTCTAAGTTGAAAAAGTGAACGATATTAGCCCACTACGGTATCTTCCAAAAATTATATGCGAATAGCCCAATAAAATGTTCATATTTTAATATAATTATGTACTTAATATGGGAATACAAATATGTATGTAGAAGGAATACTTCACTAAGAATAATAGGTACAGGAATACTTCCTTTTATAATAGGCAAGCAAAAATTTTGAGTTTGAGAAAGAGAATTAATATTTTTACTTATTAAATTAACATTTTATTCTCGTTTTTAATGTTATTTAAATCATAAATGAATTAATTACTTTTGATTCGTAATGCAAAGACCGTAAATATCAACCTTCTACTAAACCAATATACAATTTTTAAGTTATGAAAAATTTTCAGGATTTTCCAATGTTCGCTATCTATTGAGCTTTGTTGGAATCAGCATTAGATTTTAATTTCTGTTATACAGCAAATAAAAAAAACAAAAAGCAAAATATTAAAAAGGAATCGCAAACTTATAGTTATTGCTATAGAACAAGCAATATACAATTTTTACCGACCGCATTATTATGTATACACAATAAGGTAGGTTATGTGATGGCAACACACTTTCCTTTTCTGTGGAAACGCACTTCTCAATAGTAGGAAAGTGTAAATAAAACATTTTTAACAACCTGTCCGTCTGTCGATCTGTCAGTCCGTCTTTCTACGTGTGCACGCGTGTGTCAAGTTCGGCCGAATCGATTTTGATTAAATTTTATATGTGAGTTTATTTTGGCTATGACACAGATTGATTAACTTTTGGGACATGTCAGGCCTCAGTAAGTGAAACTTTTTGCGTGCCAATTTTGCATTTTTGGGTATATAAAGAAAACTAATCAACACATTTCCTTCCTTCAAATTTAATAGAACCATTGCACTAGTTCGGAAAGCTGCCATACAGCTCTAAATACTAAATCTATATATTCGAGAAAATAATAAAGCTAGATTCATGAAACTTTGCAGTCGTGTTTCAAATTACAGGACCGATATATTCCTCAAAATTTAATGGAACGGCTTGCCAAGTTCGGGTAGCTACCATGGAACTCCAAGAGCTAATTTAAAATATTCAAAAAATAATTAAATCAAACTTATGAGGCTGAACAGTCGAGTGTCCAATTACAGGTTCAATATATTCCTGAAATTTTAATGAAATGACTTGACAGGTTCGGATAGCTGTCATACAACCCCAAATGCTAATTCTTACTTGAAGAATATAGATTCATGAAACTTAGCAGTCATGGGTCCAGTTATGGGTCAGACTTGCCCGTGAAGTTTCTATGAAAGCTAAGTCTAGATATTTCAAAAGCAAATTTTCAAACTCAGATTGTCAAGGTGCATAGTTCGGTCGGTTTATACCGGCTGAAACGTTTTTACTTGTTTTTATTTTCATATAATATTATAGTATAAATGATCAATTGAAGGCATTTTATTGCCTCCTTTTAGGTTCTTCTAATTGAAGTCTTTAAAATTCTTTTTGGCATACTTATAGATCTTTAATAATTAAAAATATATGAGTTATACGTATAGTGTATATGAATATAAATAAAACCAATAACAAATTATTCATACTGTATATCATAGTTATTGCTGTGATTTTTTGCAAACTTGTAGCATATAAAAAAATTTCAACAACACTTTACAAATTTAAACATGCTACGACTTTCGAACATATGTTTTTTATCACACATTCTATTTTTGCAGTTTCATAGTTTTAATTTGTTCAAGACATTTTGCATTAATTCTAAGCACTGATTACTTAAAATACCTAATATTTTCTTTAATATAAAAATGTTTTCAGTAAAGTTTTGTAATAAAAGGAAAATATGCTTATAGTTCGGTAAATTTACGCTATGAAAATATTTAAATTTAAATTTTATTTTGAATTTTTTTTCGTAATTTAACTCAGTATCGTGTAGGAGAACTATCGATAAATTGAACCTACAATATTTTCGACATATCGTCGCAAAACTATCGCGATATACAGATAGTTTTGTAACGCCACTTGCTGTATAGTAATGCAACTTGCTGGGCATTGTTTGCATTGGGCTGGGCACATAGGCCTTGACTTAATTTGTAAAGAAACATATAACAGTGGTTAATACATTAGTATTAGTGGTTAAACATGGAATGAAAACATTTAAAAAATATCAATTCCAATTCGACTTATCAAGGGTTTACATAGGTATTGTAATTCGCATATTTTTATTATATTTAAAATATTTTTATTATATAATAAATATATTTCTTTTGTTAACTTTTCATTCTTTATTTTATTGATAAAAAATCGTTTGTTGTTTTGAACTTTTTGACTTTTCCATATGCTTAAGGAAAAACAAATTTTTTGTCGGTTGCCAATAAACCAGTAATTTGATAGAACATTAGTAAAATTATTGTATACATTGAAACATCTATGCCAATAAGTCGCTTATGTAAACGCTAAGTTAACTTCGGTTCAAAGGACATGTATTCAAAGGACATGTTGTGTGTTAAACTTCAACTTTGACATTGCTACTATCAAGTTTTTTCTCTTGTTCATTCCAAAGAAGAAATATTAAAAATATAATGAAATTCAATGCCAGCTGGGGTTGAAAATGGGGTTGCAAGCGAACATAGCTGATGGGAATTCAGTTACATCAGCACAGCCTCTGCCTCTCAACACCAAATCTCACCTTCACGTGGTTCACCCTGCTAAGCTGAGCAACCCTTATGAAAGATTCGGTAACCAACCCGGGTCGTGTAGTTTGGGTCAGTGAACAAACGAGATTGACGGGCTACGCTATTGAATTGTAGTTTCATGAGCGATAGCTTCGTGGCGTCTGTCCTACAATAGGCGGCCACAAACAGCGTCTGTACCATTTAGATGGCGGCTGATATATAAAGAAGGAAAACTACCGGAAACCCTCTAGAAGGCAAGGGGAAACCACTAGAGTATATTTCCCTAGATAAAATACTATGATAGTTAATACAGAAAACCGACGGCCCTTAGTCTCCGGCAATAGGAGGGTGCTAAGAATCCCCGGAGGTAAAACAAGTAAAAACAATAGAAAACAAAGCAATAGTAGATTTTTAAAAATTGGAACGTGGAATGTTAATAGCCTGTTTGAAGATGGGAAGTTGGCAAACACAATAAAAGAAATGAACCGTTTAAACATCGATATACTGGGCGTTAGCGAAACATGGTTGCCAGACTCAGGCGAATTACTATCAGAAGGAGCCAAAATTTACTACTCCGGCAACAATACGAGTAATCATATAAAAGGCGTTGGTATTATCGTTTCGAAAAAGGTTATTATCAGTGTAGAACAAGTCATTCCACGGTCTGATAGAACAATGTTCATGAAAATAAATGCAAAACCAATAGCAATTAACATAATTCAAGTTTATGCGCCCACAGCAGACAAATCTGAAGACGAAGTTGATAGCTTTTACAGTGAGATCGCAGAATTGTTAAAACTTTCTAAACCACATGAAATAAATTTAATAATAGGCGACTTTAATTCAAAAGTTGGACTTGGAAAAGTTGAAAATATTGTTGGCCCATCTAGTTTGGGAGTCAGAAACGAAACCGGCTCATACAATTTTGCCAAGAGGAATCGTTGAAAATTACAAATACGTGGTTCTCTCTTCCACCTAGAAGATTATATACGTGGAGATCTCCTCAGGACAACATTGGCAATATAGTCCGTAATCAGATTGATTTCATTTTAATAAATCAAAGGTTTGGCAAATCAATAACCAAAGTAACAACATATCCGGGTGCAGACGTGCCGAGCAATCACAA